CAAATGTCACAATGAGATGTGAATACTTGATATCGCAGTTACTTAACTTAATGGAACTCTTTTGCGGTGGAGGTAGGAACGTCTGTTGGCTGGGGGCAATGTGCTTTTGAATACAATGCAAGATCGATCATTGTGGATTTTATAAGGACAGATAAGGAAAAAATACAAAAAGCGAAATATCTTGCTGAACCTTCGGTGAACCATTCTAGTAAAATTTGAGAGGAGCTAATCCCCGTGTGTTACATTTTTTTATGATACTTTCACTAAGTGGACTCTTTTAATTAAATTCAATCATTTCTTTCTGAAAATGGTTACCTTTGGAAACTGATAAAATATTCTAAACATTCATAATTAGACAACCTACTAATTGGGAGTTCAACCCATGGCAATACATTGTAACTTTCGGCATACTGATTGTTCAAATCATTTGATTGTCACTATTGTAAACAATTTTGTATGCCCTGGTTATCATGCGAGATTTAGAGCTTCCTCGACTCTGCTGCAAAAGAGCAACAGAAGTTAGATAACTGTGAGGAAATCGAGATGCCACGTATTGCCATCTTTCGAGGACATAAAATCCTTATGTTGTCATCACTCTATCTATACTCACTGGATAGGAATAGCAAACAAATCTTTCTTAAAGGTTGTCAGATCAGAGGAGTAAAAGTCAAAGGTTACCCAACTGCCATAAACATGTCAAGTGTTCTTTACTGCTGATCTTTATGTCCATTCATGTCTGTTAATGGGAAATGTAGTCAATTAATGAGAAACTGTCGTATAGTTTTCTTTTCTCCTTTTTTTATTCCTACAGAGTTAGCTCTGACAACCAAATAATTCTGTTTAAAAGATAAGGAAAGGAGGGGGTCACATGCCTTTGAAACATTCATTCCTTATTTTATCAATGGAACTCTTACTCAAAATGTCCCACCAAAGTTTGTTGCTCTTTTAGCCTATTAACATTTTCTAATTTTTTATGAGTCTATCATTCATAGCTAGTCTTTTTCTTTTCATCAATTTAGATGTAGGTCTACAGGACTTCAAACAAAGCTTTATGTCCAAAGTTGTTGCTCTTTTCAGTCACATAGTCTCAAATCTGGAGCCTAAATTTATATTGAACTTGAATTATGAAATAATGGAGCACATTACACTTAAAATATGGTGCACATACTGTATATACCATGTATACTCCCCTATAAGTCAGTTGTAATTTTCAAGGTTATTTTGGAGGGATTTGCTATAGTACTGACTTAAATGCGGGTCAACTTTTTGCAAGAACCAGCTTACAATTTCAAATCAATGTTTTAACCTGGTTTAAGTATTTTTTTTTTTAAATGATGCCAATGTTTAATTTTAAATCATTAAAAAAAATAAGTAATGCACACTTAAGATAAAAATAAAATTATTGAAATATGTAAATACTTGTATTTCATGCGAGTATACGGTAGTTAAAATGAGATATCTATATAGCTAGAATTTAATTATTTCAAAGACTTTTTTATCTCTTGGATATTACCGGTATGTACATTATTAAAGAAATTCATTTAAACATAAAAGTAAATTTCTTTGAAGTATTAAATGTATGCTTTGCAAGAATCTTGTAAAATCATAGATTTTGTCAGAAGTGTGCGAGAGAAAAGAATGACAACTCTGGATGAGAATTGACGTCAAACCTTTTTTTAGCTGTTACAGCTAAGAATTGTTAAAATTTGTGAAAAATTATTCATTCAACTAATAAACAGTACACTGTCTTAATAAATGTGTTGTGTTTGATAACTGAGTTGTAAAAATTAAGTGAGGAAAACAGATAAAACTTTGTAAGCTGCTTTCATAAAATGATGTAAGAATAGTTTTTTTGAAAAAAAGTATCATCTTATTTAGTTATGCTATATCTATGAATAAAATACCTAAATGGGAAAATTAGAGGATAATGACACTATAAAAATTTTATAGTGTCATTATCCTCTAATTAAAATGTCATGGTACGAATGACTGGTAAACAGTGTTTGAAATAACCGTGTGCCTGACCGCCCGAGACGCACAAATTTTGCCGCGGGCTAACAGATTTGCACCTATTAATGCCCAGCTGGACTTGTTCAAATTTCCCATTAATTACAATTCACCAATTTGTTTAATCTCTCCCAAATCAACTAATGATATTGGTAGCAAAGTGTTACAAACAAAAAGGTAGAATTCGTCAGCCTATAGATTTGAGATCAAAGTTTTTATGATCTGACCCTCTTCACATTATTGCAAAAAACAAATTTAGACAATTATTTCTCAGGCTAGCAGATTTTTTGCAGGGCTGACATCTTTCATTAGCAGTCTAGCTTAATTTACGGTGAGTTTCAAACACTGCTGGTAAACTTTGTAGCATTTAACTTATGACCATAATTGATGACAATTAAGGGAAAGCAGTCATATACACTGTAGTTTGTAGAGTGATATAAAGATGTTTTATACAAAATACATGATTTGTGAAAACAAGAGCAATCCTTTTTGATGGAGTTGACATACCAATCCCCTCAGTTTGGTTATGAACACATAAGCTGGACGGTTGGATGCCATGTTTCCAGCAGGTTAGGCATGGATAGAGTGTACCTTTGGTCTGATTTCGCTGGGTGGAGCTCTTTTTGGGTGATGGAGTCTGTGTCTTAGATATTCTCCCTACAGGCCTTGCTGCAGGGGAAACATCTCTAGACACTGTTTGGCTGGTTTTTCCTTGTATTTGCTGCTGCGGAATACTTCGATAGCTCTCTGCTGAAACTGTCTGATTTGGTTTTGTGGGGGAAGACTTTTGAGGTGAAGTTTTCTCCTGTAACATTTTGGCTAGTGATAAAAGATTCTCCAATGCTTCACCGATAATGTCCTCTGGATTTCTGCCAGATTCCTGGGATGTATTTCTGTTACCTCCTCTGGTAAGTTCTTCCATCTCTTTACTTTTAGCTGGTTACTCTTTCTGGAAAGAAGCATTTTTTTTAACATTTTAATTTCCATTGAGTGTTGGCATATAACAGGTAAATCAAGACCGAGTTCCAGTCCTACAAGATTCTTAATCCTCAGCATAGAAAATATGAATCTGTTAAAAAATTCTCATTAGTTTTTAATGTTAGAAATATAGGAGCATATAAAAGTAAAAGTCTTAAATAGCTGGAGTCTATTAAAATTTTATGCAAAATTTCCAAATTTAGAAAGCTTTTGTTACATGAAACATCAGTAATTCATTATTTTACAACTACACATTCTAATCAAGCCAATAAGGTTTTTAATAACTGCTGTACATATTCTTTAGATATACAGTAACAGCTAGTTAATGTTCTGACAAACTCTTTCTTGCTGAACATACATATACTTAACATATACTTAATATATAAAGTTTATATACTATTAAAATAGACTAAGTACATGCAAATACCCCCCCCCCCCCCCAACTCCCTCACACCCACACCCACACACAAAGATAAGTAAAAGCGGAAGAAGAAAAAGATTACAGATCCAACATTGATAAACATTAATTATAATTACTACTGTAATGAAAAGTGCATATACCTCAAAGTTGTTAGTCCAGACTCCAAGCTCAGTAGTGAACACAGGTAGCAGATTTCTGTGAAAGTAAGTGGAGATGGCTGTTACGTACTGCACAGATATATATGGTCAGAGTTCCTGATCATGTAGGTCAGTTTTCCTGCTGCAGTATATAAATAACATATGTTACCCTATGACCTCTTATATTTATATGCTACAGGTAGCCTGCAGCTTGTTAGGAGTTTCTCCCTTGAGTGTGATCTGATAGTTAGCATAACATGTCAATTAAGGTTACACTACCAATTTAATTACAAAAATATCCGTAATTAGATTACCCAGGACATTACTTATGTAGCTTAAGGCATAAAAACTTTCCTTTTAGTAAGCCTTTAATTGCTTTATTGTGAGTTTCAAATTAATTACTTTAAAAGACTGTAAATCAGTGGCTTGGGGTAATTTATGATTTGAGCAAATTTTCTTGTATGGCATCTGTTAAATTGATATGTTTTATTCATTGTCTATTAATTGAATTGTTTACCAGATGGTCTTAAAATGTAAAAAGTTGGAAAACTTACATCCACACCAACATTCAACCCATAAAATAGGGTGAGGGTTGGAAAACGCCCCCCCCCCCCCTTTTTTGTGCTTGTGAAAGATTTTCAAGGTAACACTAACAAAATCAAATATTTTTCTGGCAGCCCCCCCCCCCCCCTTCAAAAAATGCTACTACATGCCTGTAAATGGCCATGTTTCTATGCTTGGATATATATAGTGGTCATTTCATTTTAATCTTGATCTGTCTGGCTACAGAATATTTTATATAATATCAATGACCATATAATATCAAAGTCAATATGGAGAATTGCGTCCTACATTGGTTAATTACTGAATTATAAATGATGGTCAGAGTTCCAGAGGTATTTAGCCAGAATTCCCACTGCAGTATGTATATATTAATAAAATATGTGACCTTCTCAGTCTTCAAACCTCAATATTTATACATATGTTAAAACAGCTCTCAAGTAGTTGTGATCTCCTGACATATCACATTACCTTACATACAGTCAGACTATTAATGTACATTATTTATGTTTATCTGTGTACAAGGCAAGGGATAAGATTTTTAAGCCTAATTTTTTTTCTTTGTTGGGTTTCAGCATAGTAATTTTGTAAAAACTTTAATTATTAATGTACTTCACTGGCTTGTTGGGTAAGGGTGGGAGAGGAGGGGGGAGGGAATTTATGGTTTCAGCAAATTCTCTTGTCTAAATTTTACACTTCTAAAGTGCGAAAAGTTATATAGTCTTTTAAGATTGAACTAGATGGTCATTTAAAATTTCTTAATTCACAATCATTTAATCATTAAGCAGAAATGTTTCTCTTAAATAATCTACATTTATTAAGGTTACAAATCGATATTTTCCAATAATCACTGATATAGGACCTATTACTGATTCAGGATCTAAAATTATTTTCAGTTCCTGTCTGAGGTCATGGTTGGAACAAGACACCTCCTGTCCCACCTGCAGAATGTCCCTCAATGAGGGACCACAGGTGAACCCCAATCTTAATGTCCTAGATGAGCGTGGTGCTGCACCACCCCAACCCCCTCAACAACAGCCACAGAACCAATTCACCAATCATTTCTTCCATTTTGATGGTATTTTTTCATATTTAAATTTATAGATTTATGTTCAATTTAGTTTATTACATACTGTATATCAAAATGTAAATAAAATCAGATAGAATAGGGTAAAAATGAGAATTGATGCTTTTTTGAGCAACTATATGTCAACTGCTTAAACCAACTACATCTGAGGAAAAAGAATGCTACACACATGGTGTATCTTAACACTTAACAGCTAGTAATCAGTACCAACAAACCATTAAAATGCATTTTCTTATACACAGAAAACATTTTATTGTGAAAGACTTTCCTGTGAAACTTGTATGAAATTTATATTTGTTTTGTATATAATGATGTCAGTAAGAAATTAAAAAAATTTCATTGACAGGGTCAAGATATGTTAGCTGGTTCCCCAGTTTCTCTGTAGAGGTGACACATACCCAGTTATTACCAGGAGGGCGACAGAGACCAGTCCAAACCTCACAGCTGGACAGTATGGTAAAGCAGGCTTACACAAAATGCACTCTGTACTGATACATCCATTACTATATATAGTCTTACGAACTTGAGGATTTAATCTAATATTTGAAGCACTTTATTTCCTCCATAAGAACCCATGTAGGAACCCACACCACATTTAAAAAGTTTATCTCCCCTCACCTTTGGTGTACATGACAATTACTCAACAAGAAAATTGCCACTAGGTCACAAAAACGTCAGTTTAAATAAAAAATAACATTTTATTCAAAAACAGCAATCTATACAATTTTTTAAGTATAAACAACTTACAATTGTACATCATAATCAATCAAAGTTAGATCTATAATATATTCACCCCTTTTTTCAATTTTTCTCTACATGTCACAGGTTCTTTATCGAGGTTAAATATAGTATTATGAATTTTAAGATACAGAACAATACAGTAGCAAAAAGATAATTGTTCAAGTGATCATCAACATGATCAAACAAGCTTGCATACACTTAAATTTCTGCAGTCTCTACTTACCAGTGGAGGGGACATTTAATTGGAGTAATATCCGTAAAATAAAGTGCTGTAATTTTCCTTTTAAAGCAAACTTATACCCAGGTCAAAGTGACCATGACCGAGGGATAACTATTAATCAATATCCTTATAAATACATTCATCATCCGGTCCATATTGAGCCATAAAATCTTAATGTATTAATCTTGGGTGTTAACATGCAATGTCCTTATTGACAATGGATTAATAAGCTAGGTAGTATTCACATGGTATTCGACATCAAACATAGCCCATTTATTCACATTCTATAGAAATAAAAGTAGATTTAGTGGTTGTTATGTAAGTTTTGGAGACCACTTATGATAACTGTGACCTAAGTTAATATTCTCAATGAGCCTTTTATACTTACTCCCTTTAAATTTCCAAAAGTAGATCAATGCATTAAGTAATTGTAATTAACTATAAACAAAATGGTGAAAAATTTTCATCACAATTTTTTGAATTTTTATTTAAAAGAGTTACTCATCAAATAAACACTTCCAGCATATAACATGTATAAGACATACTGTTTAAAAATTGGGGGAGGGGGTTTAAAATTTAAAATACCTTTTTAAAAAAATTCCATTCTTCTTTGTTCAAATTAATTCCATCACTGCCAAAATTGTTAAATCATTTATTGTCCATCCACCACAAAAGCAAAAAGAGGGTTCTCTTAAGCGTTTTACACACAGTCACACAGATTGATAACTAACAAACATGACAGCAAGAGCAATAAAGAGCCAATGGGGAGGTCAGTTGCCAGATTTAGATATGTGTGTGTAGTTCACATTAGGTGGGATGGTCAGCTTGACATGTCAAGGTGAGGTATAATTGTACCCTAATTAACTAATAACCTCAGGCATATGGACACATATCTATCACATTAACTGTTCCAGTTAATAAGGATGGTTTCTGATACTTTTGCACAAATGTACTAGACATTGAGATGTTAAAAATTTAGGATATATGTTTCTTTCCTTCTTACATTAGTAAACTTGGCATAGAAATGGTACAGACCTGTGGACTAATTTTTGAACAAACTGAGCAGCAAAGGACTTTATTCTGTAGTGGCCAGTATCTGCCCCCAAAATAAAACTTTGATGGAGAAGTCTTTAATTATGTTCTAAACCAGGTGGATATTTGCAGACTTCAAAGCATTAATTATTTTTATCAACTATAACATCATTAGTTAGATATGACGTCAATAAAATGACGTAAATTCCAAATTGCAATGATTTTGAGAGAAAATAGCGTATTTTACGTCGGTATTTTGATTGGAAATTACCAAGCGCAGGTCTGCTCAGACTAGATCTTTTGATATAATGTGTAGAATGATAATATCAATGAAATATGTGAATATGGTACCTGAGCAGGCTTGCGCTCTATAAATACTATAGTCAAAATTGAACAAACTCTGTGCATTTTGGCCTCTATTTTAAAAATAACGGAAATCCAAATAGTTTGTGACCTCACAGAGACAAGAAAGGCCAACTAATTTTTCCAATTTCATAATATATTGTCTTAATTTGGATTATTTTATACAATATATGCACTTTTTCTCATTTCAAGAGATTTTCAAAATTTGACTATTATGGGGGCAGGAATACGCCCTTACCGTATATAGTTCTTTCAAGTATTGATAACTTTTTTAATTGCTTTTCAATTTTACTCTAGAAATGAATTTAAAGTTCAAGCAATCAAAAATCTTAAAGGATTTTTTTAACCTAATGTTAAATTCATAATAAGAGACTTATTTATAGTATATCAAATAACTTTGATTTTCCATTTTGGGGGGGGGGGGGGGGGGGGGGGGGGCTTAAGCTTTCCTGATATAATACATGAGGTAACACAATTGATATCTATACATCGTTTTAATTAGTGTATTAGTACATTCATGAATCGAATATACATAAATAATATTAATAAATGGACAAAAAAATGTTTCAAATTACAAGATATTGAGATATCTATGGACAGACTCATTCTCTGTTTTTATTTGCCAACAAAATCTCTCAACTATCCGGTCTGGGTATATTATCCAATAATTGATCTTCCGAAGCAGGAATTATTTCTTAACTAAATCACAAACATCATCAACAAATAATCAATAACTTGAAACCAGTTGCCTCTAATTTTGACTGCTCTTAATAGGAAAAGGATCAGTGAAGGCCTCTTTTGATTGCGACTCAAATTAGTGGGGAAAAAGTTAACTTGGGAATTATCTCATACTTTTTCTAATGCATGAAGTGCAACTGAATGAGAATAAGTAGCATTCAATTGTGACGTAATAAAGCACTTGTGTTCATGTTAAGAACCATTCTCTGTAATGACTTGAACTTTTATATAGGAGCTGTGGCACGCATAGTTTCAGAATTTCTCCAAACTCTCTAAGATAAAAGTCTTTGATACCGTAAACTCAAATCAGGCAAAAATTGGTTGCTACGTGTCATGGTTACCATAGCAACATGTCCTAAAGTTTGAAAAATGGCATTTTTCACCATCTTCAGAGTCCCACAGTTAACGTTTGCAGCAAAGCAAACAAGTGGCAATGACTGTTTCTGAATGTTGAAGGCCTGGTGTCTTAAATACATGATAAACATGTTTGGTAAATCATCTATAACATACGTTACTATGGAAACAAAGTATTCAAAAGTAATAATTTTGTTCATTTAATTTTATAAAGTCATACACTTAAGAATAAAAACAATTATAGGTAGAAATGCAAGCAAATAATAGAGAAGAGATCCTTGTAACATATACCAAGGACAAAATATGATATTTCGTATAGGTTGACAATGGTTGCCATGGTTTTAATACCACGAAGGGATTTTAAATTTACTCTCTTAGTGTTTTAATCTTATCCTGTCTTTTTAAAAAGCATATTTCTATATAACTGATGATAAATTTTGAAAGGCCTTGGTGTGACCCTAATTTTCGCATTTCAAAAAATTCAATTTTAATTCTTTAAATAGTGCGTTGCTATGGAAATAAGGCGAAAAAACATGCATAAAAATCTGAAAAATACTCTGTTTCCTTGGATACGTACCGTTGTTGGTAGATTCCCAAAACTTTAATGATTGATATATGTGAACAACTAACCTGACTTTCAATTTTGACTATCACCCAATCTCTAACTGGATGCAAAAAGCTGGCACATAGGGTCTAATATTGACAAAAAATTAACAAAATCGAACATTTTCTCTTCTTGGTAACCATAGCAACAGTGTTGTATTTTTCAACAACCTTTATCAATAAATGATATTCAGCTTTAGTTCTACGAGATAAGTACTATTCAAGGTGATTCAAGTAATATTTTTCTTGATCAAAAGGTTAGTAAATTCCTAAAGCAGCAAAAAAATATCACTTTTAACAACTAGTACTTTGTTTCCATGGTTACACTGCAAAGTAACAATTAATCTCAATTTTTCTTATGTTGTCGATGTTGCAAGGTCCTAAGGATGCATAGGTGCCAGTCATGAATTTTATTGTTTTTCCTTACGATAGTAGCATTAACCCAATCATAGCAACAGATTTTGCATGGTGACACTGTGTTACCATGGCAACCATGAAAGTTATTTTTAGAATAATATTGCCAATACCTAATTACATGAGGTCAAATATTTTTCATTGTTTTTCTTACTTTGTTGATTGAGTTTGATCATGTAACATCCATCATTTGTGACTATAGAGCGTTTTTCAGCATTTTTCAGCATCTAAAATGTATTCCAAATGTACCCATGGTTACCACTTACTTAGAGATAAATTCTAAATAGTTTCTTTATAGCATAAGTGGCAACAAGGTGTCATGTTTTTGGGAGAATGGTTTGTTTGTTTTTCTTGGTCTTTATTAAGGCTTAATAAAGATTTAAAGTAGCTGAAAATCTCAATTTTTTCAACTTTTCTGGCTGTTACCATGGCAACCAAGACACATAGCAACGAAATTTTATTTGATACATGTTTCTGTTGTCAAGGTGTAATAATGGGCAAAGTTTCATCAAAATCGGTGACCATGCGTGGCAAAGAAGTTTAAGTGGTTACAGAGAATCGCTATTAATATCTAGCTTCTCCCTAGATAGGAGTTTAAAAATTCACCATAGCTTGTTGGAGGAATTGTTGGATAATATAACCCTCAGTCTCAAGATTTTATTTGCCAAAAAAAATAACTATACGGTTATATTCTCCAACAGTTCCTCTGACGTGAGAATTATTTCATAAATATATTATGAACAAAGCAATTTAAGTCCATCCCTCCATTGTGGAGCCTATAATGGACATTAGAAATTATTAGAAATTAGAAGCAACATACCAGTTGATTTTTTCTACAATTGTCTACTCTGTAATAAACCAATTGTGCTTCAATATCAACAGAATTATGAATTAAACTTAATTCATCATTAGTTAGGGAGGAATGTTGAAGGACTCTATGTAACAGAGGTAGAATCAGGACAAGATCATAAACACTGATAAATTAATCAATGAATTAAAAGTGATCCTATAGTTTTTTTTAACAGTTCAAAGAATAAAATAAATGTTCATATAAAAAGGTTGAATTTAAAAGTTAGTTCAAAAAGTTGTTTGTAAAGTTAGTCCCAGTTCAGGGGAGGAATGTCAGGAGTATGTTGAAGAAATCACAGGAGTCTCTTAGTCTCTCTTTTGCACTCTCTCCCAGTTCCTCCTTTTATACAGAAAATAATGGTCCCAGAGGGTCCCACATTCTGGTTTGTTGACTGAAGTAAACATATATGAATGTGCCTTCTTGATTCGCATACATAACATTAAAGGAAAGTTAAATATTCTGTTGATTGAAGATTATTGCTCTACATCCCAAGATAGATTTCTAGTTGTCCTTTTCTTTGTAGAAGAAGGAAATTTAACTTTTATCCAGATAAATGATTATACTTTATTAAAAACAGTTGAATTTGGAATTGATTTTTAATAATTGAAGTTCATTGTCCTCCATCCAGAAATAGGAAATCTGTTTATCCTGTTTCTTTAGGTGTGGAAGGAAACTGTTTATTTATTATGTAAGAAGTCATTTCACAATCTACTGGTCCAATTTTTGACCTAGTAAATTTAGAGTATTGACCTTTAAAACCATCTAAGAGAAACAGACAAAATGGTATTTGTACACAAATTCTATTAATACATACAATTTAATGTTGCATCTAGGAATGCATACTACTAGATTTTTTAGTTTAGTGTTAAACTTTGCCTTAAAGATAACATTCATTGAGGTGAGCTCTGTAATCTGTAAGCAGTAGTAAATTATAGCGATTTACCACTTGCCTCTGTAATCTTTGGTTACCTATGTTTGTGTTCTACTGCTGTATACAGGCAGACAAAATTTAGTCCCTTTTATCCCCTTGCAATGGAATAAAAAAATTATTGGAGGCCCCTCATATGTATTTTATGCCATATTGTTTAAATTAAAGCACAGAAATTTAATTAATACACTGGTCAATCATAAAGAATTGGTTTTTCTTCGTGTAATCAATAATAAAATTTTGAAAATCAACATTAACAGAGCATCAGACAAACAAACATTTATCCCCTCACAACAAAGTTGGAGGGGATTTAGTAACATGCTTGTGTTTGTGTGTGTGAGTGTGCGTAACAGATTCTGAAGTTACACATGTAATAATTCATATCATGAGCGATATGCTCTTTTATGAGGGAATAATGCTCCGCTTTGTGCCGTCCTTGTTGTGTTATGCTGCTCTATAAAGGCAGTCAAAATGTAGCTGACTTTCTTGTTTTCTGTTGCTGTATTATAAGAATGTAGTTCTATTCTGTTGTGTTTTACAGGCTCGTCAAGTGCAGTCTGTCTTCCCACACATCCCTATGAATGTTATCATTGAGGATTTGAGGAATACAAGATCTGTAGACTTCACCATTGAAAACATTTTAGAAGGCAGAGTTCAAGTGCCTCCTGTAAGTATCATTTGAAGTCAAGGACATGTTTCAACTAGGTCAGCCAAAGATATATAAATATATGTATTTATAAATACTGGGATACATGTATATGCAAAAATCAAAGAATTAAAGGAATAATTAAAGTACCCAGTAATGTGTGAAAAAATTATGTGTATGTTAAAGTGGAATTTTGTGTGAAAATGTTTGAAAATATCTTGAAAAAATTAAGAATTAAAAAAAAAAAAACACCTGGTAGAGTGTGAAAAAAGTATACAATATAGTCATGTGTATACATTTTGTGTGAAATTATTTGCATGAGCAATGATGGGTCACATTTTCTTTATCTTAATTGTGAGGTCCAGTCTGTTTATGGGATAAGGTCATTGACCACTAATTAAGATTTTATCTTAGATGAAATGTAGCTCCTGTATCAGCTGACATTTACTGCAGAGTCTAAAGAGATAAATATCAGAATTGCTAACCCGAGAAATCCAGAATTGATCATGCTCACAATTGATAGGTTAAATGGCAGTCTGTAGGTTGGGAAGTTCTAACTATTTCCATGGCTATTTAGCATAGAATTATGTTCAGTTAGTTACTCATTTAGGTCCTGTGTGTGAAGTGTTACATGGGAATACAAAAGATAAACTGTGTTGGTGATTTCATAGTATACTAAGATACATAATTCTGATATCGGTTTTTGATTTCCTTGAATGGTGGTGTGATGGATACTAAAAATTAAAATTTCTTTAAAATTCTTTCAAAATGCTACTCCTCCCACAGTTTTGGTCTGATTTCAATATATTCAAGTAGACTATACTAAGATACATAATTCTGTGTCTCATTTTTTGATTTCAATAAACTGTGTTGCCATGGTTACTAAAAAATAGAAATTTCTGTGAAATTCTTTCAAAATATGCTACTGCTCCAACAGTTTTTGTCTGATTTCAATAAGATCTGGTACACAAAATGACTATACTAAGATATACTTGTATAGTTCAGGGGTGTGCAATTAGCATCGCCCGACGCCCGGGGCTACCATTTTTGGGGGTCGGGCTAGTGGTTTTCTGCATGCAGGTAGCCCCTTGGGCTAGTAAAAATTAAAAATACCAATGTAATATATGAAAATCACTTCCGGTATTTTCACTCATTTTTGCCATTAAATTCCCAACCAATGAAAAGTTTCCAGGCAGCATGCCCCAACTGTTCGTAAATCTCCATAATCTTATCCATTTTGCAGCACTTCCTGACTTATTTACTTCCAAAAACGATCAGTTTTTTTCTAATCCGAATTTCCTCTATTCCTCTGTTTATTTAAAATAAAGGCAGATATCTCATTAAATTATTTACGATCACTCAATCAACTGAAAGATAAGTGTTATGTGATTTACAAAAAATATATTTCCATTGTTTTCAATAATTTAGGATGAAAAAAAATTGATTTAACTTCGTTTTAGATGAGCTAGTGCAATGCTCAGAAAAGGGGAAAATAATTTATTTTAATTCGAATTTATTTTCTATCATAATAATTTATTTATACATGATTCAATTTAACTAGTGAGAATTAAACTTTAATTTTAAAGAAAATGACCCTAAAACCCTGATTTTTTCAACAATAATCTATTTTTTTTTCAATATTACATGTAGTTGTTAACCCCCCCCCCCCCCCGTTACATTTGGGCTAGTAACTTTTTACTTGGGGCTAGTAACTTTATTGCTGCCACTAGCCCGTGGGCTAGTACTTGATTTTTTTAATTGCACACCCCTGTAGTTCTGTTTGTTGTTTTTTGATTTTGACAGTGTTGCAATGGTTACTAAAAATAGAATTTTCTTTGAATTATTCCTCGTACAGTCTTGGTCCAATTTCAGTAAGATTTGGTACACAAATAAGCTATACTAAGATACATAACTCAATAATTTTGGTTTTTGATTTCGACAAATGATGTTGCCATGGTAATTAAAAATAAAAATTTCTTTGAAATTCTTTCTGAACATTTCTCCTCCAACAGTTTTGGTCCAATTTCAATAACACTTGGTATACAAGTACCCTTTACTAAGGTACACCAAGTACACCAGTAGAGCTTCAATTTCATCAAAAACTTCTGGGTTTTACTAATAATTATATAGATTTTATTAATAAAGGAAAAGCTAGGAATATATAATTATAATCCCTCATTCCAGAATACAGAAACATTGAAATGAATTTTCTTTTGTAGCCTGGTTTAACCACAATGGCTGCTTTGACAGATTCTGAGGAGGGCAGTGATGACAGTGATGCCCAGTCCGGTATCTCACAGTCCTCCAGCAGGGCCCTACAACTGACGAGGCCTGCCGAGGGGGCTGAGGAGGTCAGCAGCATAATGGACGATAATGTCCCATTTCTTATGGAAACAAAACCAAGGTAACAAACTCTACAATTTCAGGAGAAATATTAATTGATATGTTACAAGGTTCCATACAAATAAGCTAGATCTTTTAGATGTACCACAAACCTCAGAACTTACAGATATCACAAATTAAACCTTATCCAGTACTGGTACTATGTAGGCAACCAACACCAGCTAAGTTTTATTCAGTTATTAAATTGAATCAACTGAATTAGGCATAAAGTTTAACCTCTGACTCAATAAATCTAAATGAATGGTTGCATATCTTGTAGTTCAGACATTTAGTTTCTCTGTGCAAAAACTAGAACCCACTATGGCTCACCATGTTGTAGTACTTACTAATTTATCTTGTTTTAGTTGTACTAGGCTAAGCATTCTTTTTAATTATGTCCATGTCATAAGATGTTATCCCTTTCTTTCTTTCGTGATGTCATACCATCACAAGTTTTTTTGGGGGGAGGGGGGCTGTGCTTGTAGGTTATAAGCTGATTTTTTTTATTTTTTTTTTTTTCAAATTTATGACTTGCAAATCAAGATAGAGTTGCAAGTTGATTGACACATTTCTACAAAAGTTGTAGCTCTTAAACTTTGAAAATTTTTTAAACATTCAGCCAGGCTGTCTGCGCATGAAAATTTCATTCTCGCATATTTTTGTATCATTAAATATTATATACACAAATAACCAAAATTCATGAAAATTTTGTCTGGCTTATTGATACCAAACAACATTCCCTGGAAAATAAGGGGTCACAAATGTTTGGTGATCTTTCGTATGTTACTGACTTAAGATTCAGTTTGAGTTACATGTCAATTTCTTATTTTTTGAAAGTTATTGCCCTTTAACTTTGAAAATTTATAATTGAATCCCCTTCAAAGTTTTAGGATTTAGGAATGATATATGAATCAACTTGTCCCTTTTTCCATCTTTCTGTCTGCGCAATCTTGTCCAGGTCATAACTTTTTACTGTATCAAATTGAGAAACATCAGAAACTCATACTTGACAGATCTGATGGGTAATTAATGACCTTTACACAGTCATTTGAGTAAGTTCAAGGTCATTGGAAGACGTTTAAAATTTGAATTTGTGTCCAGTCTAGAACTTTTTTAATATGGAGAAACAATTTGTTTACATCGTTGGTCATTTCAAGTGATATATATTTAAACATACACTGCAGTATTCTGTTGATCAGGGATGAAATCATCATAAATATTCTTTTTTTTAGTGATGAAACTCATTTTACCAGGGGTGGAAGATTTTCAAAGTCTGCCTCAGAGAGAGAAACAATGCTACAGAGTAGAAAAGAACAAATGTTACAGAATGCTAGAAAGTAAGTGAATCCATATTACCGGTAAAATATACAAATTACATATAGGTGCCAGTATTTTTTAGCTCATCAGAGCCAAAAGCTCAATTGAGCTTTTCTGATGAAAAAAAAGCTGATGCCTTTCCCAGATTGTGAAATTCATGTCCCATAGGTCAGAGTTTAGGCCCAAGGTGCATTAAATTTTTGAAAAATTTCTTTTTGAAACAAAATTCACATTATTATACTAAGCAGCTAGCCCTCTTCAAAAATTCAATTCCATGGATCAGGCCCGGCCAGGGCATACTATTAAAATTTATTATAAATACAATGAACCTTATCTTTTTTATTCCTGAACTGCCAGGAATAAATGCTGCACAAATATACAAACAATGATAGTAGGGTCCTACCTAACTGATTCTAATGTAACTGTTTTTGTCACATCAGAGGTCCAGTTTCAAGTAGAATGAAGAATATAAGCCTGAGAAACTCATGATACTCAGGTGACTGTCAAGGCCTTTTAGCCTCTATCTGTAATAGGAACGGTGCCATTTTATCAGTATACCAGTATATCATGATTTTTAATTGTGCGATACTTATCATGATACAGAGACTAAAATACCAGTACATGTATTCAGTAAATAATTATAAATTTGGAAATAAATATTTGGTCAAACTCTTGAATTACAATTACAGGAATTGTTTAAAAAACAATAAAACAATGGCATCCAAACATGCTTTATTAAATAAAAAAAATTGAAAAAAGTGAAGTTATGTTTTCACATGTATTTGTTAGAAATCGAAGAAATTCATTCAAAATCATAGTTAAAAGTATGTGTAAAAATATCATGATATTTTTGGAAAAAAATTGTGATAAACCATGATACAAAATTTCTGGCAATACCCATCCCTGTAGTAATAGACAGGGAAAATCTTTCAAAATCTTCTTTTCAACTGAAGATCACTGAGAACACAAATTCAGTTTGAATCTATCCCAATCAAGAATTTAAGAATTAAAGTTAAGGCAAATGTAATCCTATAAGGGTTGAGACAAATATTTTAGTCAAAAAAGTATAGATAATAAATTAATTACAACATACTCATTATATGGTGCATTGACCTTCAATCCAACCAGGATATAAAAGTGTAAGACTTTTCTGTAAGACAAGATAAACATGATAATCAGATTAAAGATTATGTAAGCTGTCCAGGACGGATGTCAATATACAGAATAGTCACTGACCATTGGTAAAGATTATATTTGCATTGTACATCATACCATAAGACACAAACTTCACAAGTATGCTCCTAGAACAGCGTCAATGGGATCAACTACTCTTTATAAAAAATATAATTAAACTACATGTACTTGAAAACGATTCCATACCTTGTTGCCTTACACAAAAAAAGATTGGTCAAAATTTAATTTCTAATACATTACACAGTAAACCTTATTATTTCAAAGATGATATCTTAATTACTATGATTATGTTGAAGAGAGCTGGAAGTCCCAACCACTTTTTTTTCCCCAAAGAATTTTACCTTCAATATCTTGAACCCTCATATCTTGATGTTTTTTTTCCTCTGTACATTCCACTTCAAGATATGATACAGAAAGTTTGACTGTATAATAAATGAACTTTAGTATTAAATAACATTTCTTTTCATTTATAAGAAATCTCAGGTTTTATGAATACCATCTTTGGACATGAAAAGCGAAAACATCATGGGGAAATTTCTGCCATTTTGTCTTCAAATAAGACAGTGCTTTAAAAATACAAGTTTTCATCTAGCATTTTTGTTTTTATAGGAAATATTTAAGTCGACAAACAAGTTCAGAGAAGGAGGCAGCATCTCAAATTAGTCAAATAAGTGAGTCACCAGAGAACAGTACAACAGGTCAGTCTGAGTTACAGCAGCGACGAGAACTCGCATTTCAAGCAGCTCAGCGGCGGTTTAACAGCTCGTAACTGTAATGAAGACCTCAGTGTTGTGATGTATATCTTGTCAATGCAAAGTTAGAGGGATTAAAAATATATTTTGTACTGAAAATAACAGATTTAATGCTTTAAAGTCTCTATTTTGAAATCACTGGAAGCATCTACTTTCAGTTTTTATTTCAAATATTAATTTATTATTTTTTAATGACTGTGCCCCTGAAATCAGATAAAGGTTTTGGGAATATTGAACTTTGTACTCGGTTTAATGCTTTTGAAAGGTGAGTATCAAATATAGGAATTTAAAACTACTTTTAATGTAGATATTGTAATTGCATGAACTACATTGATCCGTACTTTTGAAAGGCATATTGATTTTTGTAAGTATAGTATTTTTGTGTTCTCCAAGTTTTATGGTACATTGGAATGAACAATCCTTACTGAATTATTTTGTATTTATATGCACTAGCTATCTCTTGTATCTACAAGTCATTCCAATAATGAAATGCTTTTTACATGCCACACATGATTCATGAAATCTTACATCATTTTCTATTATATTGTTTTGAGGAATTATTTATTATAGTAATTTAGTCAGATATATAAAGCAAAGAATGGCCATTGTTAAAAAACAAATCTGAATACTTCATGGGTGTCTACTATAATTTTTTTTTTTATGTACTTTGATTTGCCAAAGTGATAAACTGTGAAAAGTGTTATAAAACCATACACTAATTTTGTCCATGTTTCTAGGTTGTTCAGATTTTTTTTTTTTTTTTTTTGACCATGTGTTATCATATTGAATTATTCTTGTGTTGATAAGCCAGAATTTAACTTGCAGAATTATCTGATAAGACCATTTCTTTCTGATATTTGAGAATCATGAATAATACTAAAATTTTATCTTGAATTTCTCATGTTTAGGGGGGGCAGCCACAGTTTAATGTACAATTTAGCAATTATAATATTGATTTAATCAAACAGGGAACAAATATTCCTTCTTTTGCATGATTTTACAGCTCAGTTAGTTAACCAGTTGATTATGTGTAGAAGTTAATTAATTCAGGTGGGGTCATTTGTCAAATTGCATAGCAAATATTTTCAAAGGGAGATTCCTTCTTTTGCATGATTTTACAGCTCAGTTAGTTAACCAGTTGATTATGTGTAGAAGTTAATTAATTCAGGTGGGGTAATTTGTCAAATTGCATAGCAAATATTTTCAAAGGAAGATTCATATTATAATATGTTATGAGATCTAATATGATGAAAATATTTTTCTCATGCTCTTCCTTATCAAAACTTAATAGGGTAGGAGAAATTTCCATCTATCATTTATTTTTCATTGTAAAATAAAAACATGTTCCTACAAAAGAAAAAAAGAGAAAAAATAAAGGCCACAGATGCTTGTGATTATTTTGTTCCCAGGTAGAAAAACAGAATACACACTTTGTCTTTATATGTATTGTTTAATAAATGCTTACTTTATTTCATGTTGAGATGCATGCAATATAAAATGTAGGAAAGTATGAAAGTCTTGAATATTATCAATTATAAAAATTAACAAAGAAATGAATACAAAAACCAGTCAGGAAGATTTAACTTTTAGGTAGCAATAAATTATTTCAATGTGTGTATGGTGGGGGTAAGGTTGGGAATATATCTACAGTAAAACTCGGTTATAACGAAGTCACTGGGACCTGTGAAATTACTTTGCTATATCCGTATAAGGAAATCGTTAAATTTATATAGTTGGGGATCCAAGAAAAGTTCACTTCATCCGTGGATTCAAAATATCCGTGTTCGTACTAAACGAGTTTTACTGTATATGTCAACTCCATTTATCATTATATATATATATATATATATATATATATATATATATATATATATATATATATATAGGAAATACTTGGAAATATATTGGAAATACTTGCTGTCCAGGGGGGCAATAATTTTGCTATTGTCCAGTCAATATCTATTTCATTAACAGAGCAGACTTTACTTGTGTCACTTCACAATACAGATAAAACCAGGAAAGTTCCAGGATGAAAAGGGAAATCAAATGCTGCCAGTGAATAGTTTAACAACTTATTTTGCCTAATTTACCAGGCCATCTTCAAAATAATGTTTGTTTGCCCTTTCCCGACTCAGGATAAAAAATTGGGTTGGTATTTAGATACATGTAGGTGGAAATTTTTTTTTTTCTCCAGAAAATCTTTAACATATTTGTTGGTGAGATGATAAAATTCAGGAATGAAAAGGGGAAAAAAACGTTTGAAGTTCTGAGTTGGGCCAATTTTAGCCAGTCAGTCAGGAGAGGGCAAACAAAGAATTTTTTAAAGCTGGTCTCATGGGCAAATAGCATAAAAATTCTTTTACAATAGAGGCTTCTTTTTTTTCTTTTTCTTTTTTTTTAAAAAAAAAAAGGTTTATTAGTCATATTTTTTTTATTATTATCGTCATTAAAGAAAAAATAAACTGAGGGATATATATGTTTGAGGGTGTGTGTGTCTTGAAGTATAACTGTCTTTTTGCATTTTTAAATAATCAGGGTTTCGCATGTCGGGGGATAAAAAAAGAAATAAAAAATAATGATTTTTCATCAAATATTCATTTAATCAAATGGAAACCTGTCATTCTGAAAATACTGTTTACATCAAGTTTTGATTTTCAATTTTTAAATGGCAAAAGAAAGTTGTGGTCAATGGGTAGTAATTAGGTCACTCGAGTCACTCTGAATCCGACCTATCGTATCAATATTGTCATCTGTTTACTTTTGAACATTTTCAGTTTCTTTGAAAGTACTGAGCCAATATCAAGCAAAATTTTAAAATATCCTCTATAGTGTATTAGTGCCCCATCTGGTCTCAAGATCCTTAGGGAGGTGGGGTCATGGCCAAAAATATGTCTAGAATTTACAGGTTGGTTAAAAATTATGTCTATAATAGGGAGGGTAATCATAGGGAGTAAAGGCAAGCGGTAAAGCTAGTCTTCCCGACTCCCGACGGTCCCGGATTTTGGTTTTTTTTTGGCGATTTCTTTTTTATCGTTGCACAGAAATTCTTCAAACTTTTCAGGTACCTAACAGAGTACTAGATTTACCGCTTTTTGGCAGGTGATACTGCTCATTCAGTATTAAATACGTAAATTTATTAAGGTTTTTATGTATTAATGAATTCATTTAAACTTAGAAAAGGTGCCTAGAAAGTTTGAAGAATTTCTGTGCACCAATAAAACAGAAATCGCCAAAAAACCAAAATCCGTGACCGTCGGGAGTCGGGAAGATTAGATTTACCGCTTGCCGGGAGTAAAAGGTAATTGATTGACCAATGCTGAAAAGTGGAGAAATTCTCCCAAACTTTGCGCAGAAAATCTTGCGCCGTAAATTGCACCTTATTTGCATTACGGGAACTGTAGCGTTATGGTCAAAGACTAAAATAACACATGGCCGTAGGAACCGGGGGGCCGTGCCCCCCCCCCCCCAATAATTTTGCCGATATATAGATTACTATAGAAAACATAGCTACCATATGCTTGTGCCCCCTCAATAAAAACGTCTGATGACCTTTTTTTTTTTTTTTTTTTTTTTTTTTTTTTTTTTTTTTTTGCTTGTCAAGAATTTTTGGTAGTTGATATTGCTCCTCCAACTGAAAATGTATGGCTGTGCCCCCCCCCCCCCCAAATTGCTTCCTACGGGCCTGTAACAGTTCTGCAGCTACCGCTATGATGAGTTTGGGTAGTAGGGGATATACTTTATTGTAGTGTGCATTGAATATATGTTGAATATTTATGATTCAATTTGATAGGTAATATGAAAGATATGTCATAAAATTTATCGTTGTTTTAACTTAATTTGAAATTTTGTTACTTAGTTAGAAAGCAAATAACTTACAAGATGAAGATTTGCAGGCAAACAACTTCGCTGGTTAATAGATCCCGATCCCGATCAAATAACATCAGTCCGAAAATATTGTATTAAAAAAAAAAAAAAAAAACTCACCGATCGATATTCAATATTACATACCTAATTAATTAAACATTGTTTGCCCAAGAATTACTAATAATAACATTATTTAACATCTTAATTTTGCTTTACTTTTTTTTTTTTTTAGATAAATGTCAGGAAACAGTCACCAAAGTTAGGTTAAAGAGCTAGGTTCGTTTTAAGCATAAAATGGCCCTGTAGATATACCAATTTATTGACTAACACTTTATGTTCCATTTTAAACATCAAGTTAAAGTAGAGACTTAGTGCTTTCATTTCCTATTCAAAATTTTCTTCTTAAAGCCAAGATCTTGGAAAACAGGCTTCATGGAATTGCAATGTTCTTGAATTTTAAGGAAAACAAGTATATTTGAGTACTTTCACAGAAGAGAAATAATATGAGCGCACCCTCTGATCTAAAAAATAAAACATGTTTTGTAATTCTCAGAAATAGTTCTATCATTTAATAGTTGCATATTTTAGATCAGAAGTTGCGCTCTATATTAGATATCGAAAAATAGCTTTAAATATTGGCTGTTTTTGTAGAATTTTTCAGGATATGAGGAAAATGACACATTTCATGACGTGATAATGCATTGACTAGCCAGAAAATTACGTCATTTTTGATAGATACGCAGTCACCAAAGGTCTAAATGATATTTAATGCATTGTCAATTAAAACCAAGCAGTTTCAGTTTTTCTGAAATTCACAGGGCCAAAAAAGGCCCTAAGTGAACCCTGTTCTTTATTATTATTATCGACGGTGAAACTGTTAGGATGAGCGCAGCTCTATAATTAACCTGTCGAATGTCGTTTTGCATTCTGCTTATAAAGTTAATTTTCAGTAAACTCCTTTAGCCTGCCTTTACTGGTATCATACATGTAAGTCCATCTTTTTTTTTTTAACTGTTAACGATATCATGTTTATGACAAATTAGAAATTATCATCAGGATCTCTAACAAGCAAAGGTCCCTCAACTTTTATGTCCCAGCCATCGGGGGATTCTGGCCTCAGTTCGGGGCTAAATAAGATACGTTATTATATATAGTCAAAATCCAGTTCGTCTTCAAAAATCATCTTCATTACTAGCAATCATAAAGGAGACAAAGTTAGGACAGGGGGACTAGAATATTTTATAGGTTCAAGTCCTTTAATGTACTGAATGTAATTTTGATAACAAATCGTCTTCAAAATGCTGCATTTACTCTGGCGACCTTTAAGTCCATAATGTCTCTTGTTTTGTAAATACATCTTGTGTAAAAACTAAAAGTGTGGAAATAAAAAGATCACTAACTCTGATTGCCATTAAGGTGAATGCTTGACCATTTTTTCATTTTGCTAAGTTTATTTATGGACTTGCCAGTTCATCTCCAGTATACGGTATGCAAATATTTCAAAAAAGGGGGGGGGATATAGAAAGGGAACTTCCAAAGATGCGAAAAGTCAACCACCGATCTTCCCAGTTTAAGCCACTTGCACACCAAGTGAATGTTTCATTAGAAGTTACTTGATCACAGCTAATGTTGATTCCAAAACACTTGCGAGAAGCATCACTCGCGAAATAAAATTACTCACTTTTATCTTTCTTGCATAAACTAGAAATTATCCATTTTCCTTATTCACTAATGGGCTTCATCAGAAAACCACTTTGTTATTACGTTTCATTCCTTTTTCTTACACTTTGCGATGAGGGAAGCAAAATCAAGGAATATAGTTCGAGTATAAAATGACTTGGATACATTGAACTGTTTGAATTGGTTATATATAGGAATTAAAGAGAAAGTTGAAAACTTGAAACAAGAAAATACATTGTATATGTCCAAAAGACATTAACTCACAGATATGATTGAGGTGCATTTGAATCGCACATCAAGAAATGTGAGATTAAGGTCATAGAAAAGGCCAAGTATATGGTAAAAATGATTTTAATAAGATGAAAAAAAAACTAAGGGACATAACATCGACGTAACACAAACTATGTGACGTTTTCTAATAAAATAAAAATATGAAAATGTCTTATTACAAAATTATATAATAAATGCTATCGTAAAATGCTTGTATTTTGCACCTTTATTTGGGGGGGGGGGGGGGGGGGTATCTTGGACTTTTTTTTCAATTCGTGGCTCTTGTTCTTTCATCGTCGGATACCCACGGGTGGTCTCGTCTTTTAAGTCCAGATCACCCGAGGGTATCCGACAATGTTGTTCTTTCTGTTCTTTCATTTGGCAACTGTTCAGTCAGCATTCGGTTGCAGCACACTGACAACAAGCCCGGCTAAAAATCAAACCGAGTTTTTCATAAAGTATATAGTGCCCTGGAATATTAACTTAAAAACAATTGGAGTCTTCCTCCCTGTTCATAAAGTATGAACAAACAGAGCAATGCAGTCACGAGTTATCATTCTGAAACTAACAGGAAACTGTTCCCAACCATAAGCCCGTCAAACAAATGTACATGTAGAACATAAATACCCCGCAACTTCGTCAGCGAAATCATCCTCATCACGGATTTTTTTTTTATTTGCAACTTCATCAAGGCGAAGAACAATTACGTTGGTGGTATTCAAAACACGATTACACTTTGCATAACTCATAAACA